TTACAATGCTGTGTCTATTTTCTTGGCAGTTTCTTCCATAGTTATGAATTTACTTATGCTGAATATGACTTTTCTTGTACTCTGGTTCACTCTGGTTTAAATTATTTTAACTCTGTTCAGATGCTGGGAGTAGGTAGCTTATTTCAAGTTTTTCTGCCAAACAAGTATGGAAAGTTTCTCTGTATTTCTCCATCTGCATGTGTATACATTTTTTTTTTTTGGTATCTGGCAGGTGATTTGACCTTCATTGTATCTCATGTGCTCAAGAGAAGGCTATAACTTAGTTCCGCTGAAAGAGGGCAAAGAGAATACAATATTGAAAGTTTTCTTGCTGACATGTTCTTATGTCACTATATGTGCCGAATCTTAACAGAGCTTTTCAACTATTTCTTATCTGTCTGTTCTTTTTACATGTTCTACTTTACATGGTTTTTCAACATATTGTTTAAGTTTCTTAATTTCATTTCTGTGTAGGTAGAGTTGCTTTATGTTGTCAAAAAAAAAAAAAAGATAATGGAAGTCTTGCTTTAAGATCTTTTTTTTTGTTGTTGTTTGTTTGCTTGTTTTTTCATTTTGATTTAAGTGTTAAATTTAACTCCTTTATAAAATGCATTTTCTATCACTGATTAAGATGACTTGGAAATCCATGTTCTGCATATAAATTCAACTGTAGCAGTATTTATATGGTGGTTTTAAACTAACCAATAGCTTTCCAAGCTAGCCTTTTTGGTCAAATTTTATCATAGAGGAAGGCATTATATTTTATGAGAAAGATTGGCATTGAATTGCACTTACTAGATGTACAAAGTTAGGTCTTTATCTGTACTTGCAGTGGTAACGAATTCTGTTGCTTTTTTGTGCTGTAAGTTTCAAAAGAATAGACTTCTACTATTATTAAATAACATTAACATTAAATGCTAATAACATTCAATAGTGTGCATGAGAAATATGCAGTCCAGTAGAAATGAAGAGATGGGGTGGGCAGAGAAACTTAGTGTAGAATTTGACATGTTAGGTTTTAAAATGTTTAAATTGGTTCATTCCCTGAATTTCAGTAGACTGTTAGAATAGTATTACTTGATGAATCAAGACTTAGAGACATTTTCCATGGTTGCAGGCTGGGATACATAGCTACATAAATAGCTTTAATAATCTGTGTAAAACAGCAGCATTCTCAATAATTAATTATACTAGAAATTTTGACTAAGTCATAACATTGTAAGAGCATGAGAGGGAAAAAAAAGAGAGAGAAAAACTACTTGTGGGAAGGGAGGAAAAAAAAAAAGGATCCCAGTAATTAAATTAGTTGTTTATTTAAGTATGGATCATTTAACTTCTCAGTGGTCAGGAAAATATCCATGTTACCTTTCCAAAAGAACATTCCCGTCCTTTTCTAAGTTGCTTTGAATTGCTCTTGGCAAATATAAAAACTTTACAAAATCTGTTTTGCAGATGTGGAATCCACCATTTAAAAAGTTAAATTTAAACTTGCCTATGTGGAGCCTTTTTCAGAGAAGTTCTCTTTGAAAAGAAAATTTTGACGGAGAAATTAAAAAGATTTATGGCTGTGTTTATCATTCAGTATATAAAAATTGGCTGTGATGAAAGAACAGTATTACATGTTGGAGGAACAATTAAAAATGTTTTTGCTAATAGACAAATTTTGGTTAAACATAGTTTGTTTTGAGGGGAAAACCAGCAGGGACTAAGAAATTCATTCAGGAAATGTTTGCCTTGTGTTTTCAGTAGAGTTCAAAAAATGCATTGGTTATAGTTATCAATAGGTAAACATTATTCATCTTATACTTCTAGTACTGCAACCTAGAGTGTAAAACAACATTATTCTTTCAAGCCACACTTATTAGAGGCCTAAGGAGATATTCTTAATAAGAGGCATTTTAGCTCAAAAGGAGTCTCCTAGAAGTGATCTGATTGAACCCAATGGTATTTTTTTTTTTTTTATTAGTTTCAGTACAAAAATCAGATTTGACCCCAGGATAAGATAGGAAATGAAAATGGGACTAAAGTAATGCAATCTCAGTTATTACTTTGTTATGTCTGAGAAGGAGGAAGAGGCATCAATGGTCCAAAATATTCTCTAAAACATACAAACAAACAAAGACATTCCAAATTGTAGAATTGAATTCTCTGGCTTTGCTGTGCTGCAGCATAGAGACTGATGGTCAAGAGCAGATGGTCAAGAAGAGAGAAAATACAGAAGCAATGTCAATTAGCAGTTGTTTGCCATATTGCTAGTTTAAAGACATTCTCCTGAAGATAAATTATTTGGGTTTCTGGGCTTCCTTTCTTGTTTATCCCCCTTGCTTCTGGCTAGAATGGGAGGAGTTAATTTTTGAGAAGGATTAGATGTCGTGAGGAAAAGGGACTGGAAAAAGACTCAAATAAGTTTCAAGTGTAAACAGTACAAAGGGGCAAAGCATCAAAGTGCCTGTTGAAAGGAAAGACAGGACGTTGAGATGGTTATTGACAGAGCATGGAGAGTAGAACAGGAATGTCAGAACAAATTAGTCTACATCATACTCAGACTGTGCAATAAGGCCCTTATAATGCAGCAGAGAAAGTGTCTCTGGAATCCTTCGGAGAGTCCTGTACTTCTAGTCCATCAATAGTCTGAAAGAAAATATGAAACATGTATAGTTTATATTCCTAATGTTGTGGTCACTCAGTCAGATAACAAGGGCACAGTGATTTATGTGGTAACCTGATATTTTGTCCATTGTATTTTTGTAATATGATGTCCATTTTTTTTTTTTTTTTTTTTAATAAAACCTGGAAGTGTTTCTGTAAAAAATGAGAACACTTAAAAGGTCTGACTTGAAAAGGGCTCAGGCTTAGCTCAAGAGTTAAGGGCTCTCTGGGAACGATTGATCTGTTTGTAAATAATAGGTGATTTCTTATAAAAGATTTCCTTTATTAGAGAAGTTTTATACTTAGATCAAATAGCAGCAGGGCAACAATAAACATATTCAACATATTCAGTGTGGGGACATTAGGAAAATGCTGAGGGGACATTAAGAGAACACTTATAAAACAATTTATAGGCTATGTGGGCCTTCTTAACAGGGCATTTAATTCACATGTGGGGGCGTATTACCAACTGTCTGCAGCAGAAGCAGCAGGGCAAGAAACTTGGATTTCTCTTCTGATCTGCTGACACTACGGTTGATTTAGGGATCAAAACCTTTTTTTTTTCCTTTACGTCTTATATTATGTAACAGACAGAACTATTCAAGTGTTAGTTCCTTCTTGACAGTTGAAATGTAAAATGAATAAGGTCTGAATATGCTTTATGCTATTCTGAAGTTGTTGAGGTTTTGACAGGACACTGAGCCCTAAAAAGAGGAGGACCAAAGTCTTTTTAAAAAAAAAAAAAAAGGTTGTAAGGTAGGACATTAAGATGATTACTGCTAAAGCATGAGAGGAGAATAAAAGGGGAATCTCAGAATCATATAATGGCTGAGGATGGAAACAATTGCTGAATATCATCTAATCCAACCATCCTGTTCAAAGCTAGCTCAATCATTTTATTCAATGGTCACCTAGGCCCCTAGCCCACGGCCGTGTCCAGTCAGGTTTTGAGTATCTTCAAGAATGGTAACTCTGTGCCCTTGATAGACAACTTGTTCCATATAGCATATAAAGTTTCTTTATAAGACCCTAGAAAATACATTGTAATCCAATGTTTTCTTAAAACAAACAAAACAACAACAAAACATCAGAACAGTTGAATGTCTTATGCTGAAACTCCAAACAAAACACTAAAATGATGCCTTACAGATAACAGATTAGGAAGCTTTTAAAAAATGACACTAATCTTGACTTTATTATGGACAACTGGAGATTCATTCTATTTCAGATTACTGATGTCTCATTACTGTCATTAAAAGTGCAATTATATATAACTCCATGAGCTATTTCCATCTGATTTTCTTGTTAGTTTTATCCTAGAATTATGAATGTCAGCTTTGTAGCCTGTCTTGTAGCTCTGGTGGAAGTTGCTAATGCTGTGCTGCAGTGTCTTGTTCTGGAAAAATGGCAGCCTTGTTGAAGTGGTATTTGCTTTAGTAAAGACCAGTGAATTACGTGCTGTTGGATCATAGGCAATGTTTGTATAGTCTAAACAAATGAGGTTGTCCTGAGAACTTAGTGATTTCTTTCTTTCTAAATTAATGATCTTACTTCCTTTGCCAAATCCTGAAACTCTTCTCTGCATTAGATGCCAGAAGAGTTTTGAATTTTTATCTGGAAAGAACTCAGCGTATTAAATGGACAGAAAACATTTGTATCTAAGACAATTTAAAGATTCCACCTGTATCTCAGTGTTTTAGTTCTCTCTCATTTGGATGTTTTTGTGTATCTAAGAAACATTGAAGATCCAGACAGATACTCTTTTTCCATTTAAACAAAAAAGGATGTATTTTGTTAATAATGTGGGAAAAGCTCAACTTAAAAAAAGAAAAAAAACACAACACAATATTGCATCAATAATTCTTTGTAAAGTATTTGAAGAACAATTTTACCTCAGAACTGAAGACCTACAGTATTAGTAAAAGAACTACAATAACATTGCAATTAAGAATTTAAAATGCCTTTTTAAAATACAGGAAAGCCTGTATTTTAAAACACAATTTAAAATAGGTTTGTCATAGGCAGTTTTGTTTTAATCTTTAGTCATTTCTTCCAGTAGAAAATAATTTCATGTATTTAGATGAAAACTTGGGAAGAATGGGATTTATTTTATTTTTAACTTTCACGTGCTTGTTTGTGAATATGATGTTTCTTACTTGGAAAGATTCTTAACTGTAGTTTCATGACTACTATGTCACATCTTCGATGCTATTTTGTCATTACAACTTTTATTTGAATAATATAATATGCCATTTATGCTGTGAAAGATGTTTGATGATATCATATAAATGATTATTTCTATTATGTCCATTAACTTCACCTAAAACACCTCTTTTTAAACCTTTTTCCAGAACTGTGAGAACATGGGATGTTAACAATGAGAAAAAGCACAAAAGTGTATTTAAGCCACGATCAGTTCAAGGTAAACGGGTCATTCCTACAACTTGTACGTACAGCAGAGATGGTAAACTTATTGCAGCTGGCTGTCAAGATGGCTCCATCCAGATCTGGGATAGGAATATGAGTGTAAGTAATGTATACGTAATAAAAATACTAACTTCTAATGTATGTTGAATGTTGCAGCTGATAAAATCAGTTTTGATATTTTACCCTTTGTTTCCCCCAGAAATCTAAATAACTCACAGGTAAGATTTAATATTTCCCCTGCCTTGTAATGAATGACCATTCAGTCTGCTGCTCTTCAATACAAAACACTAAGAAAACTCTTTGCAGTCTGTTTAAAAATAGCTGTTGGCCACATATGCATATTTGGAATATTATTCAATTAAGATATAATATATGCAGAAAAAGCTCTACTTTGTTGGTTCTTATGTAATTTAAAATATGTAATTCCATATTTTATTTGAGATGTTGTATACGTTACGCAGTAATTCGTAGAACTTCATACCAAAATCAGTTATTTACTCAGATACTAGGCAGAGGAGAATAACATCCATGCGTGTGAAGACAAGGATTGTGCTACACATTAAATGCTAAATGCAGAAAATTTGGACATTAATTTTGTCCAAAATTAGGAATTTAATACTATGGCAAATTTGAACAATTTATGGGAATGACGGAAAAAGTCAGAATCAGAACTTTTCAATTTCTTTAAATGTGCAAAACTATGAAATATACTCTGTAGGTAATTTCTGCTGTTGATATTGAACAACTTAAAATTGAATCTCAAGCAGTTAATGAGTCTGACAAAGAAGGCATACAGTTCTTACTACTGTGTTATCATTTGAAGTTTAGAACTGCTTGCTTTTGCTTTGTGTAGTAGTCTACAAACAGTCCAGTTACAAAGGTTTAATTTTGGAAAGTGGAGCACAAATTCACCAGTCAAAACTTTACTGCTTTTTAAATTAATCACTAACTATCTGCTGTATGCCCATCTTATCCAGGGAATTCATGCCTAATCCCTTCGATGTCAATGGGATAAATACTTACGGCATGGATAGGAGGAGAAACTGGGAATAGGGTCAATTTGTTTGAAAGGCAAAGTAAGAATATAGAAAAGTTGGGGGCAGGGGTGGAGGGAGAAAAAAATCCTTAGAATCAAACTGACATCATAAGTCTTTGGAAAGTGTACAATTAGGAAAGGATGGTTTGAGGGAAATATTACGAACTAATACATGTTGTATTAATCTGTTCAACTTCATCTTTCAAAACACTTGATTTTAAAAATGCAAACAGGCAATTTAGGGAGATTTTTAAAAAGCTTGAATTAAATTTGATCTTTGGAGGCAAGGGGAAATGTATAGATGTAAAGAAAAAAGAAAGTCTGTTGATCATATTCAAAGTACAGCCTGTATTTTTGGATTGTCATCTATTTTTATTTCTGTTTTTATTTCCACTATAAACCCAGTAAAACTTCCTAATGGCATGAAGCTTGAGAATTCATCCTAAGTGTAAACTTGTTCTAACAGAATAATAAATTTTTCAGAGACTGGCTTTCATCACCTGTGTATGTTGTTTATTTTAACATATACAGTATTGAAATATTAAGCTTTCTGGTGTAGTTTTAACAATAGTGCTCTTGGTAGTCTGCTTTTTCATGTGCTTTTCCTTTTGAACTTTAGTGTGTCTATAAGGTGACATATTGCAATGCTGATTGAGTGCAGTTTAAGGTGATTATGAATAATTTAAAGACGTATCCTGTGCATCTTGTGCAATTTCCAACTGGTGACCCCTGTATACCAAAGCAAGACTAAAGTCATTTCCTAGTGGAAATGATGTTGATAGTGTCCTTGAGTTTGCATTTTTAAAGCCTAAGGAATTTTTGCCTTCACTTTTGTTGGCATAATTAAGAAACGTACAGGACTTCCATGTAAAGGAGCTGTGTAGATTGTTTTCTGTGGCATTCTTAGTTAAAACTGTTGGTACGCACTGGAAATCTATGCATGTAGTTAAAATCAGGCTGTTCAAAATGCAACTTAGTGAAATAACAATAATTAAAAGAAAAGGCTTCCATCTTATATTGCCATTGGGAAGGGATAAAAAAGGAGGAGGAAGAAGAAGAAAAAAAGAAACGTGCTCAAAATAGGAGTTTGAAAAAGGAGGACAGGGATGAGATTGACTCTTGCAGAGAGGAATGGTGAAAGCACTTACTGGCTTGACAGGATACAGAGATTCTTGTAAAGGCAAACAAGAAAATGTAAGTTATGACAAAGTGGTGCACTTTTTGGGGTACAAGCAGCTTTAGATAACACAGAGAGATAGGCAAAGCTGTGAAGTAGGAGTGAGCTGCTTGAAGGAATGCATAGCAGATATATTAACTTTTGATTTAAGAAAAATTTTAATGCTCATCCATCAAATATTCTTTGACTTTGTCGAAACAAGTGTAGAACTCTGTACACAGCTTTTACTGTACTACAATACCAGCTCTGTTTAAAGTCCAAATTAAGACAGCATTTGTGTTTAACTTGAGAAGACTCAATTGAGTCTGTAACAAAAACCACCAGTGTTTCAAAGCAGAAAATAGTTGCTGTAATTTCTTATCCTTGATCAATTAGGAATGATTCTGGCATCATTATTTTAACTATGGATTTGGCACATACATAGTTCACCCTACTGTCATGCCAGAGCTGATACAATAAAGGCCTGTTTTGACTCTCTGAAGTCATATTCACATTTAAGCACAAATATAAAGAGCATTATACCACTGTTCCATGTGAGACAGTAACAGCACAAACTAAGTCTAGGAAGGTGTTCTTACCAGATGTTGTGGCTCACACCATGTACTATCCATACTGCCTGTTACTCCAGAGTTTGTGAAGGTTTCTAGACAGACTTATTTGTGACAGAAACCATTATGTTAGTTGACCTACTCCAGCCTAATTATTTAAGATGCAGAAAAGGGTAAAAAAAATTAAAAATAAAGAAATGACAACCCTCCAGCAGAGCCAACTTAGGTAGAGGGAAGTTTCTCTTTGCCAGAAAAACATAAGGCCTCTGCTTTCCCACAGGAGAAGAGTCATGCAAACAAGAGTACCTAGAGCAAAAGTGACTATCACCGCTAGGTTGGAGGGTCTAATAATGCTCTGTCCTAGAAGAAAAGGGGTACTCAGTTTCCTGGCCTCAATCGCAGCAGGCACATTGCTGCAGTGCTAGTAGGAAGCACGCTTCCTCCAGTGGCTCTCAAACCTATGCCTGTGTGCAAGCTGGCAGGAGCTGCCTGACAAAGCTCCCAGAAAACTTCCTTTCCATTGAAACCCTAGTTTGACTGCTGGTTACAGGTTTATTGTCCTCTGCTCCAGACTTGACTTGATGCCTTTACAACTGACTTACAGGAACCCTGATGATGTGTGGTAGCATCTTGGGAACACTTAAACAATTGAAACATTGGCAGTGGAAACAGGCTGTTTATATTGTGCACTGACTTACCATATTGAGCCGGATTTGGATTGTAATCACTATTTGTAAACCCTGGAGCACTGCAGTCAAAGTGGATTTTTACAGTGGGTTTTCCATCACCAGCCTGGAATCATTTATGTTTACTTCTCAGTAACGTAGAATTCAGTCCAGAATGGTGCGGTTAAATTATCTTTTTGAATATATAAATATATTTTAATTTTAAAAATAATATATATTTTTTTTCTCTTGTCCTTGTCAAAGCTAAAGTAGCTGTTTGTTTTAAGTTAGGGTCATGAGTTAGTTGTTTTTTCCAAGGCACTTAGAGCCGTCTAGGTATCTGCCATTTTTTAATTGTGTTGCGGTGTATAGGGCCATGACTTCAGTATGTGATCAGTTTTCCTTCTATAGTTCTGACTAGTAGCACACACCATAAGTGTTTCATTCACTTTTCTGCTTCCACTGTTTTTCTGGTGCAATTCCAAATCTCCCAGCTGTATGCAGTGAGAGTAAAAACACTTTTGGAGGAACGCTTCTTTTTTTTTTTTATTTTATTTTTGGTCTTCATTACACTGACATTGGTAACTTGCTAATGCTGAACTTAGCCAAATGCATTCCAGCTCTGCCTTGCCTTTCTCCAAACTTCCTCAGCACGATCATGATCCATTATAATCACCTGCCTCAGAGGGTTTTTTCGTTTTGTCATAAATCTGTATTATTTTCTCATGTGTGTTATTTAGTCAGTGCATGGTTTTTCTTTAAGGTTCACGTATATGTGCATTTACAGTGCACATTAGCAGAACTATCTGTCAGCTTGTTTGAAATATTATGAACACTGTCAACTTGGCTTAAAATAACAGCTTCAAAGGACATAAAAAATAACTTCCTTAAAACTTCCAATGAGTAGTGGAAACAATAGTGTGAAATAGTCAATCATAACATAACACATTAGAACACTCAATTTAAATATTCTGAGACATTGAGAAGTGTTTGGCAAATGTGGAGAACTGGAGAGCATTAGTGGTAAAAATAAGACAGAACCTTGAAAAATACTGATTTGCAGGACAGTGCAATAAAACCACTAGGTTTACCTGCAGTTCAAATAGGTTCAGAATCCTCATCTCTGCCTATGCTTGCCCATTCAGAGATTTCTGAAAGACCAATAGTGATACATATTGCTGAACAAGGTGATCCATGGAGCCAGTCTTTAGCATTAAGAATGAAGTGTGTCTTGTAATCAGTAAACCTCTATGCCATAGTTTTCCTGTGTAGAAATAGGAGTATCTCATAGCTCTCTTTAAAGACTGAAGTAATTTTTGTAAAGACTGTTAGTATACCTGATATGTAGCTTAAAAGTGTAATAAGATTTAAAGTTGATTAAAATCTCTTTTAAAATCATCAACAAAAAAGCTCTCCTCATTTTCCACTCTAAACAGGAAAGGATCAAGATGTTTTTCAGTGACAAATGGGAGTTACTAGGGTGAGGAAGGTGAACCTTCTTTGTTAGTCTTTCAAATCATCTGATGAAGCTACCAGTTACGAGAATTTTCCTTCCAGCTTTTTCTGGTTGCATTTAGCTCTGGATTGCATACAAAGCTTCGCTGCATATGCAGACTGAATCCTGGTTCTTAGTTTGACATGTCATGTATTGTATGGTAATATTATTGCAGCCA